AACGCAAATCCATTCATAAAGAGGGCAGCAAGATAACAGGAAGGAGAAGAATGTTTTAGCAATCCCCAACCCTCCCCTTTCCCTCAGTTTTCTAAGAATTGGGAGGAGAGAAATGCTTTGAGGCAATGACGTTTAGTGTCCCTAAGCTGACATTTAGGGATGTGCAGACCGTGAATATGCTCAATTGCTGCATCGGGAGCGCCACCACGCTCCCAAGCGGCGCACTCTCCAGTGCGCCACCGGGCCGGCCCTATCACCTCCACTTTAAAGAGGAAAGTAAAGCACAGAGAAGTTAAACACCATGCTCTGGGTTATAAGGCTAGTATAAGGTACAGCTGAGATTTGAACCTAGGCATTTGACTCTTGAATATTGTTTTGTGCTAATTCTTATGTGGGATGAGTCTAATGAAAATTCAGGCTGTATAAGTGTATGTATGTCCATCCATTAAGGACAAGGGATTCTTGTCTGACCCTCTAACCCCCCACCCCACAGCAGTATCTCAGCACTATATCTCAGCACTTAGATCAGTGCCTGGCACATGATATATGTTCAATAAATAATTTATCAATTTGAATGAATGATTCCTCTTAAATTGAGAACAATGCATTTATTTGTGCTACCCATTTTGATGGGGGCATTTGTGCTCTAAAATATTCCTTCACTAATGATTTTAAAGAGAAAGGACACTGTCAATGCATATAGCCAAGCGAGTGGTCAGAATTACCCACACACCTTTATGCCCACAGTGGTGGCCAGGTTTCAGTGGAAGGAAAATTGATCCTTCTCTTTATGTTTAAAAGCACTGTAATTATCTCAGTTGCTTTGAAGCCAGTGAAAGGTGGAAAATAAATATTTCAGAAGCACATTTAATGGGAGGCATAAGCAACTCCTCCCAACAAACAAAAAGGGTGTATAGCCACCTGTTCTGAAAAAAACCGGAAGCCCTTGTCCTCACGAATACACTCGTACGTTTCTCCAAGAACCGGATTAAAAGGCTTGCTCCCAGCTCGGAAGTAGCTAGATGCATATGCTGATACGGCAAAGGCTGCCACATACACCTAAGGACAAGAAGGAAAGAACTTTGTCATTTCTGTGTCACCAAGAAATTTGTTTTTCACAAAATAAAACCTCGTTTTCTCTTTATAATAGTTTCATTTCAGAAAGCCTAAGATTTATCTTTGGTTTGAAGACGACCAATCCAAAATAGGCTTGAAGTTGTAGGTTTAAATCACATTTATCTTGGCCTAGAAACAAATTAACCAAATATTTTTAAACTCTATGTTTATTTTGATGCCTTAAAGTTGTGAGATGCTATTAAGATGATGACATTTATGAAATGGACTACACTGTTTTTGAACTGTTATGCTGTGTCTAGTACCTTTAAGCCTGACATATTTGAGAATAGTGACATGGTACTTTCATGAAGGAGGGGGGAAAGAGTATTAAAAAAAAGCCAAACTTCCCCCAAGATTCAGGAATAAGGATCATAAGTTTAATCATTCACAATTTGATATTATAAAAACCTAAAAACTCACTTTGCCCAAAGAAAATCCGTGAGAGTCATTTCCTGAGCCTGGTAAACAAGCTACAGGATACAGTGACTTTAAAGTTCTGCTTTTCTGGGAGGAATAAAACATTTTTTTTTAAAAAGGCTTATCTATATGTGAACATGAAATGAGCAAAATCTTTTAACAGCCCTCACTGTGAGGCTCTCCTCATTTTTATCAGTTCCCCTTTCAAGGCACCAAAGAAACACATTATCCTTTTGTCTTTGTTTGTTTGTTTGTTTTGGTCAAAAAAGTTAAGCCTAAGTCGTGGTAGCAAATTTTTCTTTCTAATACTGAGTTTTAACAATCTCAACATTTTTTCTTCCTAGCACGTTTCATATAGTTTCTTACATCGAAGAAAAGCTGAGTGACTTTCATATATGTTCACGAGTCACGTAATTTTCCTTACTGTCCTTTTGCAAAACTTTTGGTGTCACCTGTAGCGAGACTTGCCCTGCCACCTCATGCTACAGAACACTCTAGAGCAGCTGGAGAGCTTATAAAAATCAATTCACCCTGCTCAAATCAGTCTCCTCTATGACTGCCCATTTCCTTGAACCCTGGCTATCTGCTCCCTCATGTGTTTGTTACCTGTGAAACAGTAAAGTCACACTGTGTATATGATTGACCTTGAGTCACCTTCACAATTTAAAATATAACAAAATTGATAAAAGAACCTAGTGTCACTCATGATGCTGGGGGGTGAAGAGAGTGAGGAGCAGACAAAATGAAGCACCCTCTTTTTGGGTTGGTGACATGAGAGAAAAGCCACGCAGGAGCATAAGCTGACCCACAGAAAAATAAGCAAAATCAGTGGTGTGCTGGGGCTGTGAAGCCTTTCCTCAAACTTCTGCTCAAGATCAATTATGCAGATGAACACCCTGAGCCTCTCTAAATTGACACAAGAATGAAATACCTTTAAGAATACTTTCATCTTCAAAGTCAATCATTTTCTTTAAAGAAGAGTCTCTACAAATGTTGACTTTTAACACCTGCCTTAGAACTATGTACCTCACTTTTTCATCAGGAACTCTTTGGGAAAAAGTAAAAAGAAGGTAATAAAACAAAACAACAACAAAAAAACCCCACAGCTTGTTTTTCCTCTCCTACCCTTATTATCATTAGCAGCAAGAAAGAAAGTCTTTGAGCGGGGAGCTCTGGAGACTGAGTGGGTTGACTGTAGGGTGTCTCTTTTAGCCAGTAGTTAAGATTTCTCCTTAATCTCCAAATCACTGGTATAATGAAGTTTTGATGAGGGTTGAAACTGCAAAATGCTTAGAATTTAGAAAAGAATGGCATCCTCTGTCAATGGAAGGGTGTCAGCACAGCTAGGTTTGTGAAGCTCTGATTCCAATTTAGCCAATCAACAAATGCCCAGGAAAGAGACTGCATTTGGAAGACACAGAGAGTGTGATCTACCCATAGTCTTACCCGCTTGGTACTTCCTACCCCGCTTCCCCCATTCCCACAAGACAGAGGAAGGATGAGAAATACTCGGAAGCCTCTTGAAAACCAACATCTGTAATTAGAGGTGATCTTGAGTACATTTGGAAGACACAGAGAGTGTGATCTACCCATAGTCTTACCCGCTTGGTACTTCCTACCCCACTTCCCCCATTCCCACAAGACAGAGGAAGGATGAGAAATACTCGGAAGCCTCTTGAAAACCAACATCTGTAATTAGAGGTGATCTTGAGTAGACAGCAAAAGCTGGATTTTTCCAGGATGAGTTTGTTTTTGTTTTTAACTTAATCTATACAAAATGAGAGAGAGAGAAAAGGGAATCTTTCTGATGTGGAAACCTCTTCTGTGAATGATACTTTCCAAAAACCTAGGAGCTGATGGGACAACTGCAGAAATAAATAAAAACATACTCAAGGGAAATTTACCCTGGAAGAGAAAAACCAGCTCAAGAAATTAAATTCTTTCCACCCAGGGCAGTAAAAGTAAACATGCAGGCAGCCCCTGAACACATGTTTTCTAGCCAGGCATATCAGAACAGTCAGATAGATGGGAGGCTCCTGGAGAATGAAGAGGCACAAAACCACAGAACAGAACTACCCCAGACAGCTGCCACAGAGAAGCCCCTTCCTCCCATGGCAAATCCCTACAATGTGGCTGGAAACAGCCAGGCAGAGGGAAGGGAATCAGACAGAAATGAACCCCGCTAAGGAGCAAAATGAAAACCAGCAGGGATGAGAGCTCTCTCGGCCCTGCCTGGCTTGGCTCTGATGGGCCCACACGAATGGCCTCAGGGCTTGGGTCAGAGGCTGGGCAGTGACGTGGGAAGGCTGATTACTCACCATCCTTTCCAGGGGATTCGGAATCTGAGCAGCCTTGTCCAGAAGCTCACTGTACTCCAGCTCCTCGCAGAGCCTCTGCAGCGTGTTCAGCGGCTCATTTAACTCCACGGGCATGGCGACTTTGGACAGGTCCTTTCCTATGTTGTTCCTCAGAATATTCCACAAGCTGATATTGCTGGTGTTGGGGCAGGGCGCCGGCAAGCAAGTTCTTCTTGTGGACTTTGCTTCCCCGCCACTTCTAAGAACAGGCCCTGAGAGGGAAAGAGGCCTGGTTGTCTCAATAAAGCTTTTGATTTTATTCTTTTTTTTTTTAAAGCCATGAATAAAACTTTACTCAATTTTACTACTAAACTCAGTTATCCAGAGCACGACTGAAAGCCAGAAAACAAGAAAAAGCATTCTAAGCAATTAAGTACCAAAAGTTCCATGCACTAAAACTCATGGGCTTTATTCACTAAAACTGAAGGGGAGGCCCTTCAGTTCCTACTCACAAGCTAGTTCCTCACAGCTTACCTACACTTAGAATAAAACTAGAAACTGGATTTCTATGCCTATAGCAGGTTACTGTTTATAAAAACTTCTGAAGTGTTTTTTAAAAAGCACTTCAAATTCTGATAAAAACAATTGCGCTTATTAGAAGAAAATTAAAAAGGAAATAATAGTCATCCGTTATTCTACCAGCCCCAAATAGCAGCCATTCATATCTTGGAGTGTCTTTGGTTAGTGTTTTCTGCATCCTGATAGTTCATACTGTATGTAGTTTTATGCTCTGCTTAAAATATTTTTCCATGTTATTTAAAATTCTTCTTAAACATTGTTTTGAATGACTGTAAACATATTCCATGTTATAGATATTATGCCATAATATTTACTGAATCATTTATCTACAGTTGAACTTTTAAATTTGTTTCAATGTTTTGTTAGGATACAACAAAACAAACAAAAACACAACAGTGAATATTCACATATTTAGATATTTGCCCATATCTCTGATTATTTTCTTAGCATATATAGAAGTGGGATTTCTATGTCAAGACTATAAATGTTTTTAGACTTCCCATTCATAGGATCAGACTGCTCTTAAAAAGGCTGAACAAGGTTTCTCATTTATCAACAGCATATGTGAATATTGATCTCCTGAGGCCTTCCCAGGCTTGTCGTTGTTCGTTTTTAATTTTTGTCAAATTGTTAGGCTGACAGTGTTATCTCTTTGTTTTAACTTACATTTTAAAAATTTCTAGTGTGGTCTAAAATGCTTTCGTGAGTACAAATTCTTTGCTGAACAGTCTACTTTCCTATTTGTGTATTAAGACCACATCTTTTGTTCTTATCTTTGTTTTGCAATTTAATATTCATTTGGCATTTACATTTAAATTTGGTCTATGGAGTTTTTGATGAATGAAACGTTTAGGTATGTAGATCTATCAATCTCCTTTGCTTATCCTCTGAAATTCCTTTCTCATCTCAACTGTGCCTATTTTCAAATGAAATCTTTTGCATTCCACCAACATATTTTGCTGGTATATATTCATTAATTAAACATAAATACTTAACATTTACTCATTATAAAGCCAATCACTCTGATTAAATAGGCTGCTTTGACGAACAGAAAAATATGAAATTGGGGACATACTGTGCAGTCTCATGTTAATCTAAGCATCATACTAGTTCTTAAATGTGTCTTAATTGCTTAATGGGGCAAAATCTGACACAGGTCAGTAACTGCAAATGGTAGTAGTGTTTGAAAACAGCTTTCCATGTTGTCTCAAAATATTTTTTTTGATTACGTTAATTTAAATTTTGAAAGAATGCTACTCCTCCACCACCACCACCACTGCTAATGGCTAGCACATATGAGGGTACTTCATGGGAAGATTTGTACTAACTTTTAATTCTCCTTTTCCACAAACTTTTTGAAGTACCCTCATATCTTGCTATTTACTCTGTGGCAGGCAGTCTTCTAAGCATTTTACATGTATTATTCTTATGTATTCTTCATAACTATCTCTTGAGGTAAAAAGTATTATTATCCCTATTTTAGAGGTGAAGAAAATGAGGCACAGAAAAGTTGAGGAACTTGCCCTAAGAACACATGGCCAGTGCGTGGCAGAGCTGGAATTAAACGAAAAAGGTCCCTGGATCCCTATTCTTAACCATTTAACCTTCCCACAGCAGCCAGCACAGTGACAGATCCTAATAAGTGCCCAGTAACTTTTTGGGGGAAGAAATTAATAGAAAACGCTTTAAATACCTAACGTCTACTAAAAGCTCAGAGAAATTCTAGTATGATAGTGTATCAAGACCTTGATCCCATCCTGTTTCCCTTTGTAGGCAAAACTGTGTTACGGGACATAAAGGTTATTTCTACATCCTATTTTTTCAGTAGAGTACTAATGTTTAGAAATCTAACCCTCCTCAGAGAATGCTGTAAAGAACTGGAGGACACCCATTTCTACATTCAGATACAGACAAAGAAAGCTGGGTTTTGTCCAGTGTTTGCTCAAGCTAAGGCAACATTGGTTAGCATTCTTGCAAAATGCCTGTGAAATAAGATAGAGAGAAACAGCCCTAAGAGTCATGCTCTTAGTTCTAGTCCATGTCTCCTCTTCCCGCCTTTGACCTCTGAACCTTCCATTCACTCTGTGCTCCCTCTGGTTCCACCCTCCACAAGGCCTCAAGGAGATGGGGACTTCAGCATTTGACAGTGATCCTCATCTACAGTGAGAGTGCCATTTTAGAGTGTTTGCCAAAGGAGAAATGTTTCATTTCTCTCTCAATTTGCCTCCTTGCTTTTCTAGAAAAACAAGTAACACATAAACTTGCTCCTGTATTACTGGCCTTCTCCTTTGAACCTACTAGTTCTTAGACTTTTCCACCAAGAGGTTCACCTCTCCAGAAACATTTCAAACAAAACACAGAGCATGACGAGCATCTCACCTCAAGCAGGAGTGATACTGAAAGTTGCTCTCCAGAGCATGGTAAAATGACCTGCTTTTTTCCTGCACTGTGGTCCCCAAAGAGGCAGCTCTTTAGCATTCAGATAACAATCCATCATCATAGTTCACACATGCTTATTGAGCTGGGAAACACTGATATATCATAAAGGTACCTGACATGCCCCCTGTCCTCTGTCTAGATACAAAAATAGGCGGTGCTCTGAGTATACAGTGCATGGCACAGACACACCTGGAGACTCCAAGGCACACTGAGCACCAAGACTGGGACTATTTGATGCTATAAGGACCAGTGCAGAGAACTGTTCGATTGGGCAGATTCTTTTTAAGGGCACAGCTTCAGTCTAGTCTGCTTACTGAAGTCCCAAATCAGAGTTGTTTGGGACTAGTCAGACACTCCAGGTATCCCACAGCTCAAATTAGCATTATGAAATACCTTTCCTGGTATCATTGTCCCTCTTGGGATCAACCAGTAATAAAGGGACATCTCAGTATAAGCTTGAGGGAAGGTAGAAGTTTGTAACTTTTAAATGTGTTATCTTGAAGAATCTGAAGCTAAATTACCACTTAGACCAGATCTTTTATTACGTAAACCTTATCAAATTCTTAAATTACAAAAACACCTAGATACCTAAAGGCAAAAAGCTATATTCTAATGTTTGACTACACAAGGGATATTTGTTGCATATTTTTTGATATTCTTATGATAATTGATATACCTTCACTTTATAAAATAAAAATTGGCACAACTAATTTATTTGAATGAATGTATCTTTCACATGTGTGTGCTGTCTCCTCATAGATTATAAAATCCTAGAGCAGGGGGACAGTGTTTTAGTTTTCCTAGGCAGTACTTGCTTACAGTGCTCTGCTTGGAGCAGGCACTCTATCTATGCTTATTAGTATTCTATGACGATACAAACTTTCAGAGATCAAGTAATGTAAATCTTACCCAAGGTCTGTCTCTCATTATCTAAATCATTACTGAGATTGTCTAGGGAAAGATTATCACTTATGTCACTGACATATGAATCATCATCAGAAATCTATGGGAGAGAAGAAATAATATGCATTAGAGTAAGAGTAAACAAAAGCCAGATTTTCATAAAATGCTTACTCCAAATGATCACACCTTTTGAGTCTAACAGCACAAATCTACAGAAATAATTTGGGGTGCTGTTTTCATAGAGGCCCATCCACCAATCTGCCTATGATGTATTCATGGAAAACACTTGTTATTAAAATTTTTAAACATTCTTGATTAATTCTCACAAGGCAAACAGCAAGTAAACTCAAGACTTTTGTTATCATAAAAATTCTTATTAATTCAGACTTCATTTTGAGAATTTGCTAGTGTTTGGGTAAAAGGAGATGCAATTTGTCTTAGAACTACTTGTGAAAAAAAGAATCTTCTATGGGAATTAATACATAAATAAGATTACTACTTCTATATTTAAAGGGTAAAATGATTAATAACACATTTACATATAGCAATGCTTACTATGATACCTACCTATTCAGGAAAATAAGATTTTAATGTACCAATGTATAAGAATATTATCATATACTATAAATTAATATAATAACCATATTATAATGATCAGAATAACATAATTGTATGTCATGAATTAATACAACTCAAATTCCATGATTAAAAATACACAGGATGCTAATTTATTTTCCTGTAGTAGAAATATTGCATTATCAAACAGGTAGAGGTCAAGATTATCAACCTGTAATTGAAAAGAAGTATAACAAATCAAGTATCAGAAACAAGCAAGTGTCTAACACCCTCTATTTTTACAACTTTTTTCTTTTAACATATTGTTTCATTTTGTGCTTTTGGGGTATGAGTTATGAGAGGACCCTCAGAATGTAATGGTGGAAAGAAGCCATTGAGTCTAGTGTTTCTAAATTTATATATTCAGTAAACAGGTTGATCAACAAAGCAACAAGAGATTTTGGAGGCACCTAACTGAAAACAGGGCTCAAACCTCATTTTCTGAAGAGCTTGGAGATAACAGGACTTCCTGTGCATCAAAAAACTCTGAAAGAGAGTCAGTGATGGAGAGTCTACTTTCATTGGAAAGCTGATGAACTAGAGCTCGGTTTTCATCTCTGGAGCTCTCCTATAACAAAAACAAAAAAGCATGTATTTGGAAACGGTCTCAAGAGAAGCAAAATAAACAAACAATTTAGTTGTGTAACATGTAAGGTAACAGGCCCATGCAAACAAGAAACTCAAAGCAGAGGTCAGCTCCAAACCTGAGAAGTCAGTTTCATTTAAACAAAACGTAACACATTTACATATAGCAATGCTTACTATGATACCTACCTATTCAGGAAAATAAGATTTTTATGTACCAATGTATAAGAATATTATCATATACTATAAATTAATATAATAACCATATTATAATGATCATAATAACATAATTGTATGTCATGAATTAATACAACTCAAATTCCATGATTAAAAATACACAGGATGCTAATTTATTTTCCTGTAGTAGAAATATTGCATTATCAAACAGGTAGAGGTCAAGATTATTAACCTGTAATTGAAAAGAAGTATAACAAATCAAGTATCAGAAACAAGCAAGTGTCTAACACCCTCTATTTTTACAACTTTTTTCTTCTAACATATTGTTTCATTTTGTAAATTATTTAAGGCAAAATATATATTACATAATTACATTAACAAGTGAGAAAACCCCTATTTTCTTTATAGCTCTACATTATGGGTACCCAATATCATAATTTAGAAATAGTTTTGTGCTAATATAACTGTTTTAATTTTCATTCGGTTGAATATTTTTTCTCTTTTAAAAAACGAGCTGTGGAGATGTTAATGTGGGGAGAGGCTGGAAGAAGTGTGCGTGGGACCTCTCTCAGTATTTTTTTTGCACCTTCCTGTTAATTTGTAAGTATTACAAAACAAAGAGTAAAAAAAAAACAATCCCACAACTATGTGTATTTGGGGGGGGTTTTGTGTGTGTGTAAATTGTCCTTTTTCCATTTACTTGTTGAGGTCTGAAGTTACTTGATGTTATTTGTTCATGATTTGCATATTAAACACATTATCACTGATTTGGTATTATCTGAGTCCACCATTTTCACTGAACCTATTTTTCCTATTGTTTCCCTTCCTATTTTTTGACACACACAATTTTTTTCCTTAAAAAAAAATAGGAATCAAATCTAGTAAACATTTATTTTTGCAATCTTTTTCTATTACTCCCCAACTTAGAACATCCTCCCTACGCCAGCAGTTTGATAAATATTTTGTGGTTTGAATTTTTATATTTAACTCAAATTTGCTGGTGATTCATTTTAGCATGCAATGGAAAGTTTTAAAGTTCTTTCTAAATTGCTTTGAGCTACATCGAGCTAATTTATTGAATATTTCATCTTTTTCCCAATGGTTTTTTTTTTTTTTTCCTTTTTGTCTTTTTTTTTCGTGTCCGGCAACGGATGGCAACCCTCAGTGTCGTGCCCGTACCGGACCGGGACCGGCAATGGGATCGCAACCCTCGGTGTTGCGCCCGCACCTCGCTCAGCCAGTGAGCGGGAACTGGTCTGTATGTGGGATCCGAACCCTCGGCGGGAGCGCCGCTGCGCTCCCAAGCGGTGCACTGTTGCAGTGCACTGTTGCAGTGCACCACCGGGCTGGCCCCCCAATGTGTTTTAACGCCTTTTCCATCCATATATTTCTTTCTTTATATAAAAGGGTGTTTATGCCTGAGATTGTTATTCTGTCCCATCTTATACCATCACCACCTTATTTAAATTACTGGAACTCACTGAGTGTTTATTCTCTGTTCAGGCATATCTTTCCTCGTTACGTATATAGCAGTAGGTGGTATTGATGAAACAAGTGCTTTGGACTCATTAGGTGTGAATTTAAATCCTAGCTCTGTCTTTTACAAGCTCTGTGTCTGGGGGAAGTTATTTAACCTCTCTGGGCTTTGGTTTCCTCGTCTCTAAAATGAAACTACCACCACCTATGTCACAGAGTTGTAGTTAGGAGTTTGTGAGACAATGCCTTCAAATGCATATGGAATATAACAAACAAGTTGGCAATTAAAAGAATTAAGTTCCCTTCTTCTCTTTCACACTTTTAAAGTTCTTGCCCTTAAATGAATTTTAAAGAATTAAATGAATTTAGGATGTAGTAGGATGTTACCTCCAAAAGTCATTTGACCATTCATCTGGAATCTAAAATACTATAAAAACTGATCAACTGATAATATCAAATCTTCACATTCAGGAACGTAGAATAGGAGGACTTGATAGGTTGTAGGGGTAATTTCTGATAGGAAAGGGGGAATTTTAGAATTTGAGTAGCCAGGCCCAGCACCAAAGATGGGTAATTTGTGCAGCTAAAAGAAGGTAACAGAAAGGAAGCAAAGACAGTGAGGGGCCCTGAAAACAGCACCTCAGGCTGGCCCCACTGTCGGGGACTGTCACTCCCCAGCAGAGTATTTGAGGTGCCTGGGAGTTACCTAAAGAAATAAACTGGAGTCAAGCTTTCAGTCTGGGTGGCCATTTCCACTCATTCTCATACTTGTTTCCTGAAGGCAACAACGGCTTTTCCCCTGCTGGGAATGTTAGCTGAGTCACTCAGTGAAGAAAAGGACAGAACATGGGAAAGAGAAAATCTCTGAAAGAGGAAATTGATAGATGAGACGACTGCAAAACTGACTCAAGACTCAAAAAGGGTGTTTTGGAAAATGAGAGTTTGAGTGATGTTACTGCCACAGTATCAAGGACAGTTTATAGCATTTAAGCTTTCAGGTATGTTACTTTTGAGGTCAGTTTTAAAATATGCATTTTAAAAGACTTGTGATTTTGTTTTCCTTTCCAAAACACAAATGGCCCCAAGTATACACACTGCACATAAGTTCATAAAAGCATAAATGAAGGTTATCTACTTAACTACTTGTTAAATAGATCAATGTAACTTATGCGCTAATACTATTTAAAAGGTAAGTACTGTCTGGAAATGCAAGAAGCTCCAGAGAATGTCACAGTGTTTGGCAGCAAACAACCCTCTCTGTCATAGCCATGACTGGGCCCTGCTCTAGCAAATGTGCAGATTCAGAAGAAGATCTGCCTGGTAAGCACATTTCTTTGCCCAGGCCTGTAATGAAAGCCACCATAAGTAATGTTTAGGTGCTCAATCCTGTCAGTGACAAGTTAGGTCTGGGCTAAAATAAATGAAAAGTGATCTTTTGGGAGTAGTACATCATTAGAAGAATTTCCTATTCAACCACTCCCATGTGCCTCAAAATTAATGAGAGGCCCACAAGCCTCTGCAGAGACAGAGATGGTCCTGTCAAGGGGGGGCACAGCCTGTGCTTCAGATGGGGCAGACGCCTGGGGCCTGGTGTCTACGTCCTGACTGATCTCAGCCTCAACCTTCTTCCTTGCCCAACACAGTGGCTTCCCAAGGAGTGAATGTATTGTGTGAGGACAAGAAAAGAAGGAAGAAGGACGTGATTAGATATTAGAGACTTCTCTGATAACTTTATATATACACACTTCCCCCGCTTGTCTATTACCTTCCTCATTTTTTTATCTTAAATGTACTCAGTCTAATAAGTTTATTAATGAAAATGTTAGCACAACCGAGACAGGCATATAAATATAAGAGATAGCTAAAAACAGTTTTTATCTTCGTTACCCTTTCCTACTTATTTTGAGTAACCCACTTGTATTTTTCTGAAATTTCTCATTTTAAGCATTCGGAAACTATTTTGAATAAACATCCCAAGTCTTGAGAAATGATCTTTTTAACGCATTATTAACTGATCGAGGCACTTCAACTAAAATGCAATATTCTCTCCCTCAGAGTGTACAGCTGCTATGTGCTGTAAAAGAAAAAAAAAAAAAAAAAAAAAAAAAAAAAA